TCCAAGGCACTGGTACAGACAGCTCCTGCCCAGGCACGCTGCCCTCGGAGGCACTCGGGAGGGATGCACAGAGCTCCCACCTCACCCCAGAGCAAAGCCCCGCTACACCTGCACGCAAATACACCCGTCTGCCTGTTCCAGTCACAAACCTTTCATCATGGAGAGGGCCAGGACAAATGCCACGTCAACACAAAGCACCTCCATGCACATTAAAAAAAAAAAAAACCCACACTTTCAATTGGACAAAAGCAAACATTCAACAGAATAAGTGCTTTTTAGGGGGATTGTTTTTAGTTTTTTGTTTTGTAAAAATGCTTTAGCTTAAATCTGTGTGACTACTTCTACTTTCTTAACTAATTGATCAGTTTGTGCTGTAACTCCTGGTATTGCTGCAGATGTATTTCCTCTCTTAGCTCAATATTTTAGTGACACCTAATGTTTGTTTTCTGTAATACACTTTGAAGAACAAAGTGGAGCATTTCAAAGTTAATAATCTCTTCTGTAGGAATATAAAACTTAACATTTTTCAAAGTTGTGTACAAAACTAATATGATACTGTAAAATGTTTCTTCATATTCAGATACATTTCAGCATAAGGATGTTAAATATACATACATACGCTTCGTGCTATTAAAAGAGCCTAAAACTCTGTGACAGTTTATTTTTCCTCATCTTCAACTAACAGTACATACATGAAAAGTTCTCCAACAACCTAGTGAAACTCAACTAGGCAGCACCTAGCAGACCTTGGAAGGTGATGTGCAAAATAAGAAAAATTTCCATTATACTTTCTAAGCTATTATCTGCATAGAGCAATAAATATTTCTAAGATATGTATTTAGAAATATACATTTTCTAAAAAGCCAAAGTATTTTATGAATAGAAAAAAACTTCATCCTCATGATTATTTTGAGGGACAAGGTGTTATGAGCACTATATTTTTTAAGTTAAGAATTTTATGGCCTACTGTATTAAACTTTATTCCGTAGTTCAAGAAATTTGGGGGAAATTCCCCAAATTAAGTCCATGTGCTCATAAAACATTCTGAAACACAAAATGCAGGGTGTCTATGACAGCATAAAATCAAATCCATATGCACACACAGACTTTAATAAAATTAAAATTGCAAATCATGTACATGACAAACACTGTAATTGTAAAATACTATTAATACTGTCATACTTACATTTCTAGGGTAAGTAGATTCTTTTCATATTTTTCTACTCTTATTCCTTTCTGAGTTTAAAGTTTTCTTCTTCTTTCTGTGTTTCTAGCTGTTTTATAACGACCTATGCTGCTCCCAGTTAGACTCTGAGCATTTATCTGACAGAAATCACTTGCAAAAGCACATGAATCACCTGAACATATGTGAATTCAAGTTTATGACCTGCGTTCAACACTGACCTTGCGATAAGCATATTACATATATACACCAATGCATATGGATCATGAACGTTGGTTCCTTCTATTTTAATAGGGAAAAATACAGCAACAACAGTATAACATGCCAAAACCAGCATTCAGGAACATGTCTTGCCTACATGCTAACTTTGTGCTTACCGGTATGCTCCAGACCTGCATTCCATCACTGTATCCAATCATGAGCAGTAATGGTGGCTCATTCCCAGTGCTATGAATTTCGTGAAACTCCATATTCCTTGATGTATCTACATTGGGTTTAAATATCAAAAACACAGATCAACAGGTTAGGAACACTTACAATTAGGGTCAGTTAAACTAGAAAATGTTTTCTCAATTCATGTTTCTGTTGTTATAATTAAAGGCAAAATTCAGTGGTTTAAGTTTTTCTACTGGAAACAATAAAACATACTTCTTCTAGGCCCACAATTCATTCATTAGAGTCTCACAGAGAGGCTAGAAAGCATTCAAATGGAAAATGGAGAAATGTGTTCTTCATTACATTGTGGGCTATCATGAAATATCCAAGAACCTTCTGTAGTCTTAACTACTTGTAGTGATTAATAAAACATGGCAAACTTTCCAAATAGAGGAAAAATTGACAAAAGGATCAACAAAATAATTGTCAACGAATACTATAATTACAAACACAGTATGATCAAATGGGATTTGCCTTTCCCTCTCTTCCCCCTTCCTAAGCCATAGTTAAGCTTCAGAGGAAGTTGCCCATTTGTTCCACTTGCTAGGTGCTGAAAAAAAAGACTAGTTATGTTCCAAGAGCTTAATAAGCAAGAGAAAACAAAGCCATACCATTTAAATCTGCATTTTCGAATCTGACCCAAATGATTTTTTCCTTTTCTTCTGCTGGTGGGGTACCACTGTAGGCCTGCATAAAAATCAAAAGGGTTGAAAGAAGAAAAAGTTTAATGCCTATTTTTTCTGATCCTCTATAGAACATAAAATTGAACACAGGTTTGGATAGTGGGGGGTAAGAGGGATGATGCATCTTCCTGTCATGTCTCAGTTTGGGAGATTTTGTTTCAAGAACAGATGTTTCCACAACTAGCAAGCATCATACTAAATAAAATTCAGCAAGTGTAACATTATTTACTAAAGTAAAAGGGACAAGACATAAAACAACAGGTATGCTCAAGCACATTAGAAATGGTTTACACATGGTTTACGCCAATCTAGTGAAGCTAAAATGCAGTGGCTTCCACAGTCTGAAACTTAAGAGCAAGAGGCTCTCAGGCAAAGCATGTTCACATTTTTTTTTTAATTCACTTTAAAGCTTTGTAAGCAAAACTGATGAAGTAAAGAAGCATTTACTACATCATGTATTTTACTGCAATGCCAATTTGTGGTATTTTAAAAGAGTAAACTGTAAAACAATCAGAACAGATCTGTTCTTCAGTTGTGTGTTCTACAGACTTCAATCAGAAGCCAAAATACTGAAAGAAATTGCAAAGCAGGCCTACAGTATTTCACAAAATGCATTTCACAAACTAATAATTTGGATGGGAAAATCTTTTACTATCATCATTAAAAAAAGTTTTAGTTAACTAAGAGAATTTTTTACATATAAGAAACAACAGTTTCCTGAAGCCACAGGCAATTAACTGGAATGAGAGCGACAGACTCCAGCTTTATGAAACTCAGGGATGCTGGACACCAACAAGGGAGCAGAGCTCCCAATCCCATTTCATCCTATTCAGTCCTTGTCCATTTGACACACAGTTCAACTGTTTTGCATATGGCTGAAACTTTTGTTAAAATATATATATATTTTAAGAAAGATGTACACATACCTGTGGCACAACATCTTGAAGAAATGTAACAACACTTTCCATATATGACTGTTCCCTTGAAAACAGAAGGAGAGTTTAGTTACTCCTCAAGTTCATAAAGGGTAAGGAATATATTCAGTTACTCCTATCATCCCAGAAAACATGCCTGATGTTTAACGCAACCAAAAATACTAAGGAATTTGCAACACAGTTACTTAATACAAGTTACCACAGTGTATTAGTAGTATATTAGCAGTGTATGTTACCCAAAAACCTGTAAAGAGTTGATAGCTATTTATGATACAACTGCTCAGGAAAAGGTATATAAGAAAGCCTGCAACTCTCTCGAGTGTAGAAGGGAGAAGCCACCTCTTCCACATCACTTCGGTTTACTAGAGCAGAGCTTTGGAAATTATTTCTCAGTATTTTTCCCTCAATTTATTTAAATATTGTACCATGAAGAAGAAAAACAATAAAGGCTGAAGCATCAGCTCTCCATGTGCTGCAAGCAAATTTTAAGACCTGACCCATAGTATATATCATGATCAAGTTGAATAAGATGATTTTTTTTTTTTTTTAAACAGCAGATCCATGGTAGGAAGGGGAAGGATGAGCAAGACTAAGAAGAGCCAGGAGGTATTTTCAGTTAAGTAGTTATAGGCCAGAAAAATTATTCTTCCTTGGAAGTTCATTAAGAGCAATAGTTTAGAGTAGCATACAGTGCAAGATACATTTGCTCTGAGAGATTTAAGCTCATGTTTTTATTAGCTTATCTTTACATGAGCAGCAAGTCTCTTGTGTAACCGCTGAGAGGCATAATAACGTGAGCTGATTGCATTAGACTGGCAGTGTTGCAAGCACACAAAAAGTTTGTGCTCTCTGTAATGAGTAATGCTGAAACATGCTGGCAACAAGCACTACATTCATAAAGTTATTTTTTTTTTAATCATTTCAGACTTTATTTAGCTAACAGCTCTGGCAGCCTTCAGATTAATTTTTATTTTGGTAGGCATTCTTCCCACACTAATGGAAGACTTCTAAGAGCAACAAGGATGGATTGTACTAGCAGAATGAGCAAATCTAGATTCCTGATGTCCAAAGGCACAGAGCTCTTCCTCATGCTGCAACACCTGACCATCCTATCCATACATAACCAGTTGAGTACTCTCTAAAAACAAAGATAAGTAAGACCATAAGTCATAGAATTCAGGAAAGCTTCTTGCAATCCATGAATAACAAAAACAAGTTTTGGTCAGCAATCCAAAGATTACTGAATCAAATTAAGTTTGTCATACTTCTTAAAGCAGAGGTTTTATAAACACAAGCTGTGGTTTCTAGCGCCGATTCTTCTTTGATATATGTAGGTCACCAAAACTGTCTTTGCACACCTTCAAAGCTTTGTGTTACATAGCAAAGATATTTGTCCATCTTACAGGCAGAATATGGAGCGCAACGTCCACATTTCTCATCTGAATGTCTGTCGGCCAGAATGCCCTCATTGTTCAGTTCACAAAAAAAGTACTTATTTTTTTTCCAATGCATCTTGATTTGTAAACAAAGCAGATGTTTGGAAAATGTTTTATTCAGTATACATGCTTACTCCAAGTCTTTCTAAAGCTGAAAAACTTCCACGAAGACTGCTTTAAAGCACTTAAACATGCACAAAAACTTGGCAAAAGCCTTCTAACACTAGGGGAAGAAAGAGCAGTAGGAGGAAGAGGTTGAAAGTGACTCTTGATGTTTAAATATCCTGTTATCTGCTATCCAAGTCTTAGTTCAGTTTTTTGTTCTCTTGAGCAATTAAATAAAACATTTCTGTAAGTGGAGTTATAGATTTTATTTATTTAATGACAGGCTTATGTGTTCTAACGCATCCATTCCATTCCTGTTTCAAGATTTTATACAGAATAGCAAGAAAGGAACAAGCTATACATTAGCTATTGCAAAGTTCTTTTGCTTACCTACAGCTAGCATAGCATTCAGCCAACAAAATTACATAAAGAAACAAGAAAACATTGGAAGAGAAAGCATTCAATTTTAAAGTGGGCAATTTTGAAGGCTGGTCCAAGTTCTGGTCTATTAGGCTTAAAAGGATCCCATTCAGGGAGACAACTTGACCTGCTTAGTCCCAGGAGACAGGAACAAAACATCTGTTTACTTTCTTTTATTGGAGAGTTCTCCATGCAGCAGAACTTACTGTCAACACAACTCTTCATAGCCAGCTCTGAAAGACAATTTGTGCCAGGCTCTTCTGGTACAAAAACATGCAAAACACTTCAATTAAGGGCCATTTTTCAAAACGGGCTTACGTGACAGCTTGGGGGCGAACGACCACTCCTCCAGTGCATCTGCTCGGGCGGCGGGGAGATTCTGTGGCCATCGTTTCTCCTCAGGTACCTAGAAACAACACGTTTCTTTTAAGTAATGGTTTATATGGAAGTTATTTACATTAGTTCCTGCTATATTCTTTAAGATGACGAAAATCTCTTCACGAAGGAGACTTCAGTGATACAAACCTGCAAGGCACCATGTCCCTTTCACAGTACTCCTTGATATGTGATTAAAGAAAGATTTCATTTTTATATACATATATTTAAAATATATGTATTGGTATAGGTTCAGAGTTATTATCAATATTATTTATTAATGAGCTGTTGTCTTAAAAGGCAATGTATACAAGAGCTGTACACAATCGCAGCTGCAAAAAAAATCATGTAATTGGTTAGATTGAAGCTACAAAAAAATGTGATAGAACACATTCCCTTTTTTCATTCCTTTGGGGATTTACCTCAACACTTCTGGTCTTTCATGTGAAAATTCGGAACACCTTCCATAAAAGCCAAAAACCCCCAAATTCCCTTGTTTATCCATTCCATTTCCCCACCCCACTCAACTAAGAGCTAACATGAGAGAAAGAGCACATCGCCAAGGCGGTACCAGCTCTGCTGGGCAGTGTGACTTGCACAGCACACATAAAAGCCTCCTAATTAATAGATAATCAAGAAAAGGCCAGACACGCAGCTGCATAGTCGGTAACACCAAATTAAACAGAGTTTGACCCAGGTGCTGAGCAGCCCCCAGAGAACAGCGAGCTCAGGAGGAGAAGGGAACTCCCGCCCCCCGCCGCACAGCCGGGCTCCTTCAGCCCCAAGCGCCGCCACCTGCGCCTCA